AAGAATTCTCGGATCTTATAAAATATAGGAGTTTAGGCTTCAAAAAAGTGTGCGATGTTATGATGAGAGAAGCGGCAAGGAATTAGTACCTGGACGAGAACAAGTTGATGCAATAGCGTAATGAGATGCCGACAAACTCAGAAAATAAAGAAAATTAGAAATTAATATGTTTGCCTTCCACAAGGTTCCTTTATAACCTGAAGGCATTAGTGGAAACTGTTATCTTGAAAAAAAGAGACGTGTGGCTGCAGGATCCACAAAGATTCGTTGCTGTCTGTAATCGTCTGGGTGTCTCCCACAGGAGTGTAATATTCGTCGGCGTCCTAACACTTCATCGTGAATGGAGCAGCTCTAACAAGGGCGTCACAGCACAGCCATCTTGGGGCGTGCACGTCGGTCGGCACAACCAATGTTGGAGCCCTCACCATGTACTATCTTGGTCGTTTTCCAACTCGACAACGTCCCATGTGCTGTTCTTGGGGGTTACTAGTTCACCCTAGAGGAAAATCATATGAATCATTTTTATCGTGAAGTATGCCTACGAACTGTATAGTGGCTCATCTTCCGTACCTGGCTAGAGCTCTTCAAAACAAGCAATGAATGTAAGTTGGCAGTTCTTATGATAAAGAATTCTGATCAACTGTTTCCTCTTACTCTAACTAAGCTCTGTGGTTTGCGGGCACAGTCTTTTTTTTAATATTGACCAGTTTCGATTTTTGCTACTCAACATGGTGCAGCTACCCACTATTCACTTCTTTCGAGAAGAAAAAGGAAGGAGTGATGATAGGCCTGTATGTGTAATGTCGATGAATTTTCGTCTGGAAACTCATAACTCGTGTGCTCTTGGACCGAGACCGTACAGATTCGATAGATGCACAGGCGGCAGCCTGGAAATGCTGATGGCAGGTGACACGACTGAAGGTTAAAGAAGAGGGGAATGGCCAAAGCTTTTCAAACACACATGAGTTGCTGCTAGCACTCAGGAGTCTGAATCCTGCGCCGTGAGATAAAATTTCTCCGGGGCCTGTGTTTTGCTAATACTAAGCAACAAATCCTTATTTTCAGGCATTTATTAGAAGTCAGTAGAGTAAATATTACAACTGAAAAGGATCGGCAGTCGTCGGTCGCGTGGTGTAGCGGTTAGCACTCAGGGCTCTGAATCCTGCGCATACATATACATACATACATACATACATAC